TGTGCACTGCAAGTGCAGTTGCTTTAGATCCGAAGGGAAGCTCTGAAATGAGGTGAAGCTCTGCTGGTTTCTTTCATCCAACCATGAGCAAGCAAAAATGCCGTTTTTTTATTTTCCTTGCGTGTTCCCCTCAGATCTAGAGGAACTGCACTTTCAGTGCACTTGCAGCGGACAGCCTATTTACCTTTAGTAAATAAACCCTACGTGTAGCCGTCATCATGAATCCTGTTTCTGGTCCACCAGGTGGAGAAACTGCTGTGGTCCCTCTGATGGGCTGCAACGGAGGCTCCCAGGGCTTCCTAATCGGCGTGGAATGCAGAGAAGGGTGGATGTGATGAACAGGCGTGGTGACACTTGGCCAAGCTGGCCATGAGGTGAACTTTTTCTTCTCAAGCAATTGGAGAGGAGAAGTCTGGTGGGTGAAGGTTTCTACTGGACACGGTGGAATGCATTTTGGTAAGAGCTGGTATTCCAGCCTTCACTTCATGGTCTTCAGTATGGCCTCCTGTTCGTTGCTGCTGGAGACAAAAAACGACAGGCCTTGCAAACCCCAAGCAACCCTTTTGTCCCTCTCACTGGCTGCAGCAGTCATACTTGTTGATGAACCAGGAGAATGTTGAAGAGGGGAGGAGAATGCGGTAACTGAGAAAGATGAAAGAGGATGAAACTGTCGCAGTTAAGTTCTCTCCCACTGGTTACTGCTCACATCATGTAGTGCAACTCTTGCTCTGATATCCACTGCAGACAGATTCTGCAGACAACAAGGGCACTTCCTGCATTGGAGACATTTAAGCAGGTCAACATTAACTAGCTGTGTTGGTACACTTTGGAGGTAGAACCAGGGGAGTATTTGCCATGAGGCACTGTTCAGGGGGGTGGTGCTGTGCTTCGAAAGAAGGAACATCAGTGATGTCACTTACTACAGAAGAGGAATACAGTGAGGAGTGGGAGTATCAGGCCTCCCCTGGACAGTGCTATCCTCCAGGATCATCACTCAGTCCTGGCTCCCCACCACCATCCACTGCGGAGAGCTCCGGGAGCTCCAACCCTCAGAGCAGCCTACAGCCTGGCCAGGCGCACTGCATGCTGGGAGTTGTAGTCCTTCCCCTGCCTCCGACCTGGCGCCTCCACAGGAGCAAACTACAATCCAGTGCGGGGAAGGACTACAAATCCCAGCATGCAGTGCGCCCCAGCCAGGCTGTAGGCTGCTCTGAGGGTCAGAGCTCTCCAAAGTGGATGGTGGTGGGGAGTCAGGGCTGAGAGATGATCCCGGAGGACATCAGTGTCCAGAGAAGGCAGGGATCTCTGTCACAGAGATGGAAGAGGAAAGAGAAATGCGGCTGTGAGGAGGATACATAACAGCAGTACATGGCTCCCCCCCCCTTCGGTCTGCGCCCCTCCACCAGGCCTGGTGAGTGATCTCCATCTACTATATTGCCAAAAGTATTGGGACGCCTGCCTTTACACACACACTAACTTTAATGGCATCCCAGTCTTAGTACGTAGGGTTCAATATTGAGTTGGCCCACCCTTAGCAGTTATAACAGCTTCAGCTCTTCTGGGAAGACTGTCCACAAGGTTTAGAAGTGTGTCTATGGGACTGTTTTCTCATTCTTCCAGAAGCGCATTTGTGAGGTCAGGCACTGATGTTGGACAAGAAGGCCTGGCTCGCAATCTTCGCTCTAATTTATCCCAAAGGTGTTCTATCAGGTTGAGGTCAGGACTCTGTGCAGGTCAGTCAAGTTCCTCTACCCCAAACTCACTCATCCATGTCTTTATGGACCTTGCTTTGTGCACTGGTGTACAGTCACGTTGGAACAGGAAGGGGCCATCCCCAAACTGTTCCCACAAAGTTGGGAGCATGAAATTTTCCAAAATGTCTTGGCATGCTGACGCCTTCAGAATTCCCTTCACTGGAACTAAGGGGCCAAGCCCCACCCCTGAAAAAGAACCCCACACCATAATCCCCCCTCCACCAAACTTTGCACTTGGCACAATGCAGTCAGGCAAGTACTGTTCTCCTGCTAAACCCAGACACGTCCAGACAGAGAAGCGTGATTTGTCACTCTAGAGAACCCGTCTCCACTGCTCCCGTCCAGTGATGGTGTGCTCTACACCATTGCATCTGGCGATTTGCATTGCACTTGGTGATGTAAGGCTTGGATGCAGCTGCTTGGCCATGGAAATCCATACCATGAAGTTCTCTATGCACGGATGTTGTGGTCTGTTCACTAATAAAACAGTGGCCAGATTAGAACCCTGCCTGGCACTTTTATGCACCTTGATAAATGAATGGAACTGAAAACCTGTTCTAAAATGTAGCAAAATTAACTGATCCCCTCGTAACAATACTATATGAAATTAAACTTTGTAAATTTGATACTGTGTGATGAATGAGGTGTTATTTACTAAAACTGGAGAGTGAAAAATTTGGTGCAATTCTGCGTAAAAAATAATCAGCTTCCAGGTTTTATTGCCAAAGCTTAAGTAAACAAGCTGAAGTTAGAAGCTTATTGGCTACCATGTACAGCTGCACCAGATTCTGAGTGGTCCAGTTTTAGCAAATCTCCCCTATTGTTTGTTTAAAATTTACCAGTCTGGCAATTCAACCTCCTCAACAGGTCCAAAGTTTCCTTTACTAGCAAATTACACAAAATATAATTCAACCTTGTGTAGCACTCCTTTAGATAGCCCAGGGGGAGCTAGATAGGTTTTTTTTTTTTTTCAGAGAGAAGGGCTACACCCCCTAGGCCAGATAAGGGTAAAGGGCATTCAGGTGGGAAATCTGACTAGCCCCCATTTGGGACTGTTTGATCTAAGGAGACAGATTTTGGGTCCCCTTGTGCATGGATTCACCCAGTACAGCTGGATGAGGAGAGGATTCATCTGAGGGCTGGGGTGGTACAATAGGAGAGGCTGGAGAGCTCTCCAGGAATAAAACCCTTTTTGCTGAATAGCAGCCTGGGCATGAGTCAGCCTGGGTGCGAGCCAGGTTGATTTAGGTCAGGACTGAGGCACTGCAGGTCAGTTCCCTGATAACTCCCCCTGATCTAGAGACTTGGAGACGTTTCTAGTACTCAGTGGCTTGGGGTGAATAGGGGCTGGCCTGCACATTTAAGTGACTCTGGCCAATCCCCCAGCAGGAGGCTTGGCATTGGGCCAGGACAGGCTCCAAGTGTGACAGAGCCTGCTCAGCAACAGGAGAGTTTGGGTGGAAGATGAAGTGAGAGGCTGAGATTCTGGAAGGAGGCCCAGTGAGAAGAGGCCTACCTCCAGGCTGAAAGGAGGATCTCTCAACCTCAGCAGTCCACCTATGCAGCATGGAAGGAACCAGTCCAGCAGAAGGCAAGAAGGCAGCCACCAACTCAACAAGCTCACAGTTCTTACACCCCCTAGGCCGGATAAAGGTAAAGGGCATTCAGGTGGAAAAACTGACTAGCCCCCATTTGGGACTGTTTGATCTAAGGAGACAGATTTTGGGTCCCCTTGCCCATGGATTCACCCAGTACAGCTGGATGAGGGGAGGATTCATCTCGTGTCTGGGGTGGTACATCAGGAGAGGCTGGAGAGCTCTCCAGGATTAAAACCCTTTTTGGTGTATAGAGACTTGTACATAGTTGCTAAGGAGTTGTCCTCAGTTGCATTTCCCTTGGGCATCCCATACACCCCTCAACCCCATCCAAGTTCAATACCACTAATAAAACAAAAAAAACAAGCTAAAGGACTGTTTGCTGTCTCCAGAATGCAAGTCTGTGAAAAATGCGTGTTGCCTGGCTGTGCAGGACTATAGGGGGACCCAAATCTTCAACGACTCCTAAGGGGGTAGTGCTACACTTGTAGCAAAATGGAATGGATGCTGTGAGAAGGTTGACAGTTTAACAAAGCTCCAGAAACGCATAACCTGTCATGAAATTGCACAAGAGATGAACCTTTCTGTGGGAATGGTGATGCATGGATGACGAAGTGAAGCAGGCTGTCCTAGGATGGTTCAGGTGTACTGACAAATATTTCTATGCCAAAGCTTTCCAGGCAGTAATTAAATGGGATATGTGTATAAATGTAGCAGGAGAATATGTTGAAAAATAAATGCAGTTTCCACTCCTTAAAATGTGTTCCTTATATAAACTCAAAAGTCCTGCTTTCACTTGAACGCCCTTGTGCAATATATATGTAAAGCGCTGTGTAAATTGATAATGCCGTATAAGTAAGTGTAATTAAAATAATACAAATAAAATGCCTTGTATCCAAACATTATTTTAGTGTCATTATAAATGGGACATTTACTAACAAAATATATTTTTTTATGTAAACTAACACTAGTTATTTCAAAGTGTAAAAAAAAATAGAATTTTGGATGACAATATAGCAAAAAAAGAATGCTTGTCTTTCTGCAAAAAAAAAAAAATAACATATGTATTGATCGGGCCTATATAGCATACACAGCTTAGTGTTTGCCATACATTGATAATGAACTATTCAAAAGATTAACAGTAAGAGAAAACAAATCAATGTCAGCAGACACTCCCCATAACTGGTGTCACAGTACCACCTAGTGCTAGTTATAAGTAATTACACCAATGGGACTTGCACATATCCTAAAGAGAAAGTGCAACCTTTTCCACTAAAGCTACATTTAAAGCATGACCTGATTATTACTATTTTGTTACCTGTCCACAAATGGCTTTTGATTTAAAAAACTTTTCCTTATAAATATTTAAACACGCTATAGGCGTTCATAAGATTTTTTTGAAATGCACATGACTCACTGGGCTCAATTCACAAATAATTATTTTCCTATTTAACCACTTGCCTACCAGGCACTTATATTCCTTAACAGGCCAATTTTCAGCTTTCAGCGCTGTCTCACTTTGAATGACAATTGCACTGTCATGCAACATTGTACCAATATGACATTTTTATCATTTTTTTCACACTAATACAGTACATCTTTCTTTTGGTGGTATTTACTCGCCGCTGGGTGTTTTATTTTTTGCTCTATAAAAAAAAGAGCAAAAAAGTTTTTCTTTGTTTCTATTATAAAATTTTGCAAACAGGTAATTTTTTTCCTTCACTGATGTACATTGATGAGGCTGCACTGACAGACAGCACTGATGGGCACTGATAGGCAGTACTGATTGGCACTGATAGGTGGCACTGATAGTCGGCACTGATGAGCTGGCATTGATAGGCGGCACCGATGGGCACTGAATGATGTCACTGACTGACAGCATTGCTGGGCAATGACAGGCGGCAGTAGTGGACACTGACTGGGGCCACTGCTGGGCACTGATGGCTGGCATTGCTGGGCAGCACTGTTGGATGACACTGCTGGGCTGCACTGATGGGTACTGGTGGGTGGCACTGGTGGGCACTGCTGGGCACAGGTGGGTGGCACTACTGGGCACTTGTGGGAGACACTGCCAGGCACTTGTGGGCGGCACTGGTGGATGGCACTGCTGGGAAACGATCCTCAGGGCACTGATCATCAGTGCCCTGATGATCGGTGCCGATCCCTCCTCTGACAAATGCCGGTTCTCGGCAGTACTTTCAGTGCAGCCGATAACCAGCAATTGCATTTCCCGGTGATCAGTGTGTCATTGGACACGGCTGATCACATGGTAAAAGGCCGCTGTGACTGGCCTTTTACCATAGCACGTGATATCAGCTGTGTCCATAGGACACAGTGGTCATGGAGATCGCCGGGTGCTCGCCCCCAGGGGCACGCAGGTGAGCGCGTTCTGGGAGGACATCGTATACCCACCCAGAACTGAATGGCCGCAGTGAAGCCGTTATTCGGCTATCTGCAGTTGGCAAGTGGTTAAAATGTAATATAAAATACCGCATAGCAGGTCACCAGAATTAATGTCCCCATTGGAAAATTTCCCCTCTATTGCTTTTCTGAGGACAACCCAAAATGTGGGGTTTTCTTTTATTTTCACTTTCAATGATAATGGCAAACAGGACAAATAAAGGAGGTGAATCTCCCTAATGGGAGCACAGACAGCAATAAAAAACTGACAGGGGTTCTAATTCCTCTCCACTCTGTCCAAAACTAAAAAAAAAAATGTTGCCTTTAGTTATTCTTTAAGTAAATCAACCCCCAATGATGCTGTGTTTTTCCATATTTAGGTTTTCATGCATTACTGTTGAGAGAACTTATCCAAAAAGGCAGAGACTACTCCATATAAGCTATTATATTTGTACATTCCATAAATACTTGGACCACTACTTATTTAACTCGTGCATTTATTTATTTCCTTTATTGAAATGACTTTAACACCATTTTATGAGGTATTTACTGCTTTTTTTACATTTTTGCTTTGTTTGTAAATTGTTATATTATTATTATACAGGATTTATATAGCGCCAACAGTTTGCACAGGGCTTTATGCAAATGCCTCTTAAGGTGATCGTGAGTTGACATTTTTCAGTATCAAACACAATACCTGTGCTTAGACATAACATCCCTCAAAAATCAAAATACGATAAAGCAAAGTAAAAGCAGCTTGCACATAAAAGGCTAATTAGCGCTGCATTTTTGGTTTATATTTTTCAGTATCGCATGAGATAATTGGAAAAATTGTGTCATGAGATATTCCTGTCCAGTGTGCTGTTATATACTGTGGCCAAAGTTTTTATCATATGCCATATGCACTTTACTGTGTTTTATTTTTATTATCTGTGTGTCACAATGGCAAATTTAATAGGAAAACGTCACTGTACTAATGTAAATGTTACATGCAGTATCTTGTGTAGATGTAGCATTCAATAAGGACCCATGTACAAGTCAATTAACAAAGATTACCTTATAGGTCATCACTCGTTAAAGCAGAACTTCACCCAAAAGGGGATGCTCCGCTTGTTTTCTTTCCCCCCCCCACTACCACATTTAGCACTTCTTACCGCAGCGATCTGCTCCAGAAGTTCGGTCCCCCCTCCTTCCCATGCAGTCTTCTGGGTCACCTCACAGGTCCCAGAAGATTGCAGGACCATTCACAAAGCACAGAGTGGCACGTGCATGCTCTGTGGGAACTGGCGGTGAAGTCGCAAGGCTTCCCTGTCAGTTTCCTTTACTTAAGATACCGGCGCCTGCATCGGAAGCCAATTGTAAAATCCGCTCGGGTGAGGACATTGCTGGATCCCTGGACAGGTAAGTGTTCTTATATTAAAAGCCACTACAGTATTTGTAACTGATGATTTTTATTTGTTTTTGTTTTTTTTTTTGGGGGGGGGAGCCTGGAGCTCCGCTTTAAAAAATCAGTAAAGAGAGAGATATATAATTTTACCCCTGTACAAATCATTAGTAATTACCAGCTGGGATCAGGTGATTGACAACCAAGGCAGCAAATGGTGACACGGGTAGGGGGCGCGCATGCACCACCTACCCAGAACTGCAAAATCACATATGTACGCGATTTTGTGTACCCGTGCTGTCCTGTAGCAGTATTTCTGCTATAGGGCAGTGTGGAACTGGTTAATGGATTATAACAATCAGCTCTAAAGTGAGCAAAATCCTATCTTGTATTAAAAGAGGTATAGACTCCAGAGAGAGAGAGATATCATTTTACCCCTGTACAAATCATTAGTAAGACCTCATCTGGAATATGCAGTTCAGTTTTGGGCACCAATTCACAAAAAGAACATTGGGGAACTGGAGAAAGTACAGACAAGGGCAACCAAACTGATGAGAGGCATGGAGGAGCTCAGCTATGAGGAAAGATTAGAGGAACTGAATTTATTCTCTCTTGAGAAGAGGAGATTAAGGGGGAATATGATCAACATGTATAAATACATCAGTGGTTCATATAGTGAACTCGGTGTAGAGTTATTCACCCTGAGGTCATCTCAGAGGACAAGGGGGCACTCTTTACATCTGTAGGAAAAGGGATTTAATCTCCAAATACGGAAAGGTTTCTTTACAGTAAGAGCTGTGAAAATGTGGAATAGACTCCCTCAAGAGTTGGTTCTGGTCAGCTCAGTGGATTGCTTTAAAAAAGGCCTGGATTCTTTCTTAGATACACAGAATATAACTGGATACTAACATTTATAGGTAAAGTTGATCCAGGGAATATCTGATTGCCTCTCGGGGGATCAGGAAGGAATTTTTTTCTCCTGCAGGAGCAAATTGGGTAATGCTTTGCTGGTTTTTTTGCCTTCGTCTGGATCAACTGTGGATTTTTTTTTTTTTATGGTTGAACTACATGGACTTTTTTTTTTTTTCAGCCAGACTAATTATGTAACTATATGTAACTAGGTTCCTTCTGGAGAAATACGGAAAGCTGTCTATTGAAAAGTGCAGCAAAATAAACCATTTACAGCAGAGGTCAAATAAAGTTTTTTCGTATAAAATACTGATTCATGAGAAATAAGCAGCCTTCAGCTGTTAAAGTAGATCGAAACCCAAACTGAATAATTATAGTGTGTTTACTTGTGAGCCACCAGGGTATACTAACAGAGGAGCACATATATATTTTTCTAGATCGCTGGTTATTTTGCACACTCTCTACAGGTATGCATTTGATATCAATTAATTCAATAATTACCGCGCTCTAATACTAATTAAAAAAGTGCTCAGTGCTTGAAAAATAATATAAATAAATCAACAATTGATGATACCTTTAAAAAATTGTAAATACTCCTATATATGTGCCAATTAATAAATCAAATAATAATTCATGATAAAAATAATATATATAAGTCCAAAAAATCCAAAAGGTATAAATAAAAAGTCCCAAGTGCAAAAAGAAAGTGCTATAGTGTTCAAGTCAAATCAAATCAAATCATACTCTCCTTCCAACATATGTTTTTTTGCACTTGGGACTTTTTATTTATACCTTTGGATTTTTTGGACTTTATATAATATTTTTATCATGAATTATTATTTGATTTATTAATTGGCACATATATAGGAGTATTTACAATTTTTTAAAGGTATCAATTGTTGATTTATTTATATTATTTTTCAAGCACCAAACTGAATAATGTTTAGTTGGTTAAAGCATTTAGTATGTTTTGTAAAAACAGAACATGACTGTTGTTTAGTAATGTTTATACCTTTTTTGTTTTTTTTTTTGCATCTCAATGCTGCTGATCTCATCCATTCTCTTTTAGCCACTTCCTGTTTACATGTACTTTCTACGGCATCAGCTGAACATTATTGCTTCATGCTATGGGGCAGCACAGTGGCTAAATGGTTAGCACTTCCACCTGGCAGCACTAGGGTCGTTGGTTTGAATCCCAATCACAGCACTGCCTGGAGTTTGCATGTTCTCCCTGTACCTGTGTGGGGTTCCTCTGGGTACCCTGGTTGCCTCCCACACTCCAAAGACATGCTGATAGGTTAGTTGGCTCCGGTCTAAATTGGCCCAGGTATGTGTATATATGAATGTAAGTTATAGACCTTAGATTGTATGTCCCTTGTGGATTAGGGACTAGTGTGAATGTACAATATATATGTAAACTGATGGCATTATATAAGTACCTGTAATAAAAAATGCTAGTGACAACATTGGACAGTGCCTGCACAATGCTGTTTGTAGTCTCCGTTAGGGGTACATGTGACAGAATGGAAATCAGGGGTATGATTGGGAGATTTGCAACTCGACCATACTTTAAGAAAATCACAATGCATGTGGCAACTTGAAATAAAGATATATAGTATTGCGCTCACAACCTTCCAATCTATATATATAGACAAATGAAAAAGTGTATACGATATACATAAATAACTAAATGAGTGAATATAAAAATCAACTCACATAAACGGAATAGTGAAAAATACTAAAAATAAAATGATAAAAATAATATTATATGATAATAATGTCCCACAAAAAAACATATAAGTGACTTTGTGCTGAAAAATCTTCTATATCTTTAAATAGGTGACTGCTTGTGCCTCCTCCCTCAAGTGAAGATGTGCGCTCACCTCATAGATAGCCTGCAATTAGGCTATTAAAGCTTGCGGTTCACCTCCTTGGAACCTACTTGTTTAGGAACTGATGTTGATAAGATAACCATTAAATGCGACATGTGCTGTAGAAAAGTATCCTCTCACTGGGTGCCACTCAGCTGTCTTCTTATTTCCATGTGATTCTCCATAAACAAGAAAATTCTGACATGGTGCTTTATCGTTTTAAAAGCTTTTAATGTGAAGCTGACAGGTGGCTCTCACATAAATCATATAGTGGTAGTGCAGCTGATTCAGACCTCCGCTGGCTGTTGGAGCTGTGCGTTCGTGATCCGATGACCGGACCGACTCCCTCCGAGTGACGTGAACAGTCCCACCCCTACGCGTTACGCCACTAGTCACGTGGCTTCATCAGGGGGATATAATTCATGTGGCAACTTACCAATAACCAAACGTTTTTTAATATTAGATATTATTATTATTAGGTAAATTAGAGAAAGGGAAGGGGTAAAATTCCTATCAGGTCCCTTTTTGCTGTCTGGACCCCAGGGGAGAATGCTCTTTAGGTCCTTT